TTAGCAGGAATGACAGGAGTATCTGGGGGCACCAGAAAAGGCCTCCAGAAGGAGATGAGTCTTGTCTTAAAGGATGACAGAGTCTCATAGCTGGAGGTGAAAAGGGAGAGCATTCTAAGAAGGTAAACAAAAGCCAATGTTAGAGACAAAGATAGGAGCTGGATTCAAGGAACAGCACGTAGAACAGTATGGCTAGATCACAGTCTATGAAGGAAATAATATGTTAAAAGATTGGAAAAATAGGTAAGGGACCAGGTTGTTAAGATCTTTAATGCCATCAGAGTTTATCTTTGAGTCTTGACATGATAAGTCAATGAAATTAACTGAGTAAAGGGATGACATGGTCAGACTTACATTTTAGAAATCTCAATGGAGGATAGATCAGTGTGGGAAGAAACTTCAGGAAGGGAGTACAACTGAAAGGATATTATAATAGTTCAGGTGCTAGTGATGGGGGCCTGAACTAGAGCAGTAGCTATATGATACTGGCAAGGAAATTCATGTGTGAAGCATTATAAAGGAATTGCAAAAGTTGGCAATTGACTAGATATATAGGGTGAGTGAGCGAGAAGTCAAGGATGACATTGAGGTTACAAACCTGGATGACTAGAATGATGTACCTTCAAAAGTAATGGAGAAGGTGGGAAGAGGGTTTGGGTAAAAAGATGAATTATTTTGGACATGATGAATTTGAGATGTCTGTAGGAACTCTAATCTGAACTATACAAAAAATAGTTGGTGTTGGGTGACTGGAGTTCAACAAAAATTTGAGGTCTGAGGTCTATATGAATAGAACTGAGGATCATCAGTATTAAGATGATCAATGAAGCCATGAGAACCTATGTGATCACTAAGTGACGGAATAAAGACAGAAAAGAGAAGATGGTCTTGGACAGACCTTTGAAGGACTAACAATTATCAAGCATAATACAAATGAAGAATCAGCAAAAGAACTCTAGGGCCAGTCCTCCTCACACTCTACCACCCTGCCTCTGTCACTGTATTGGTTGGTTACACTTAACTATTTCTGTTACAAGGGAGGTTTGGTTCTATTAGAGGTATGTGGTATACTGGGAAATGACTATGGTTTAAAAAATAAAAGTCATCAATAAGATTTTTTTTAAAGAAAAAAGGTCACTGGTAACCACTGAAAGATCAATTTCAACAAAGCACTAACAATAGATGTTGAATAGCAAGAGGTTGAGAAGAATGGGTTGTGGGGAAATGTAGACAAAATATGAGACAACTTTGGTGAAGTCTGATGAAGCCTACGGACATCTCAAAATATTTTTAAATGCAACAAAAAATCTGAGTAGGATCAGAGATCGCTGAAGTGACTGTCAGTGTTACTATTCACTATAAAAACCACTAAATTGACCTATTGTCTACTACTCCTCTCTTAAAGCAATATTACATTCAAAACACCTTATATGTCTGTAGCATTTTACAAAACTAGTTTTCAATGTGCTTTCATATGCATTATCTCATCTGATCCTTTCTATAATCCAAGAAGTAGTTAGGACAAGTTATGGTATCCTTATTTTACATATAAAAAAAAATCAAAGACCTTGTCTAGAAGTACAAAACGAAAGACATACTACTGGAAAGTAGTTAATCTGAAAAAAAAATGGGTATTTTAGAGGACAGCAAAAATAAAAAATAAAAATGTCATATGTTTGCCAAGAAATATCTGATAACAGCTTAAGCAGCAAGCAGCATTAAAACAGACACAATCATTGTTGGTAGAGCTGTGTACTGTTATAACCACTTTGGAAAGGAAATTTGGAATTGTGAAAAGACAGTGACTTAATGCCCATACCCTTCAACCAAGAGATTCCACTGATACACACAAACACCAAGGAAGTCAATGACAAAAGAGGAGGCCCCATAACATACTAAAATATTCACTGTAGCAAAGAATGGGAAACAAAGTAGATGCCCAGCAGTCAGGGAGTAACTCAACAAATTGTGATGCAAGAATGCAATGGACTATTACATGTGATAAACATGATGAATACAAAGAAGCATGGGAAGACTTATACAAATAAATGAATGAAAAATTAAGTAAATAGAACCAGGAAAACAATATACACAATGACTTGTACAATGTAAACAGAAACAACAACAAAACAACTGAAACTGAATGTTGTAAAATTATTTTAACTTAGCTAAGCCCCAAAGAAGAGATTTAAAAAGATACCTCTCCCTACTTCTTTGCAAAAGACAGGTAGAGCTTCCAAGAAAAAGAAGGTGATAATATTGATCCACTCTGCCACGGTCAGAATGTAAGAAGAACATTGTATTCCATTCCGGAAGTCACATTTAAGGAAGGTCATTACAAGCTGCAGAATACATGCACATGCAAAAGAGGGAAGCCATGGTGAAGGACTTTGAGGGTCCTGTCAAGGGAGAATGGGCTGAAAGAGATGGAAATGTTTAGCCTGAAGAAAAGAAGACATTGAAGTGAGAAGACATGGAATCAAGAAGACAATCAAAATAGCTGCCTTATTGTATTTAAAAGGCTTTCACTTGGAAGGGAGAATTAGACTGATTCTATCCGGCCCCAAAGGAAGCACTAGAAGCAATGGGTGGAAATTGCAAAGAAGCAAATTTAGGCTAAAATTTCTCGATAGAGGTATCCAAACTGGACTGAGTTGCCTCAGAAGTTAATGGATTTCTTCTCACTGAAGATCTCCAAGGCAAAAAGACTACAGCACTTGTCAAATAAATTGTAGTAGGGATTCTTTATCAGGTATGGGTAGGACTAGTTAGTCACAAGAGTCTTTTCCAATCTGAAATTTTATGCTTTTGAAATGTAATCATATTAGTTTTAGCCTAACTTTCCAATCTATTAAGATACATTTTTGGATACTGATTCTATGATTCAGTGTACTAGCTATCCACCCCAGCTTTGTGGAATTAGTAGATTTGATAAACATGACAATCATATCTCTATTCATGTTATTAATAATTTTCAATAGTACAGGACCAAGGACAGATGACTGTAACATTCCACTAGGAACTTCCCTTCCAGTTGATATATACTCTTTATAAACCATGAATCCAGAGGACTGAAGATGAAACACACTAACCACTTTTTAATAGGGATGTGGTGGACTTAAAATGCAGAATGAGATATCCAAATATAGCTAACATAAAAATTATGTTCTCAAATATATATATATAATATATATATTTATTTATTATGAAGATGTTTTTTATTGTTTGAAGGGGACACCTAACAATAAGAAGAATAATTGCTCATAAAAACAATGTGTATATGTGTGTGTGTGCACACACACACACACACACACACACACATATATATATTTACTAATCACTATCTCTTAGCTCTGGTCATTCAACAACTGGTCCCAAATCCATCTAAGTCTACTAGCTTCTTATCTACAAATATATTTACTATACAGAAATGTCCATGATCATGAAATAGTCAAAATATATTAGAAATGAAAGGAATCTACAGACTAACTCCTAATTTGATAAATAAGCAGACATTCAAGGAGACATGACTTGCCCAAGATCACATGAGCAGTAAGAAACAGGTAGACTTAAACCCAAGTCTTCTGACTCTAAGCCTAGTATATCATGTTATATTTTCCTTTTATTAAGTATGGTCAAAATCATAACGGATACTACAAAGCTAAGAAAATTGAGAGGAATAAAGGCAACATAGTATAGTAGACATCAGCAGTTAAGTTGGAGTCAGGAAACTTGGTTTTGATTCTGGCTCCAATACTTATAAATGGCTATGTGACCACAGATAGACCACTTCACAAGTCTTAGTTTCTTCTTCTGAAAATATAGATGATAATCTTTATTACCACCTACCCCACTCATATAGCTGTTGCAGATAAGGTGCTTTCTAAACTTTTCAGTTCTATATAAATATGAGTTTATTTGTTATCCTAGTGGTTATAGTAAAACTGTTGAGAAATTAGCCTGTGGGCCACCAAATCCTTGTACTCAATAAGCTCAATATTACCAAATTTACAAGACTTCAGAGTTACAAAGACTGAGATTATTGTTATAAAAGAGATCACAGTATCATCCTAAACAAAGCCTTTCATATATTGTGTACAATTAACAGACTTATGGATAAGATTTTCAATACTAGTATTTTGATTCTATGTAGAGTTTATTTTAAAAGAACTAGAAGCAGATATATTCCAAAGATGCTGACCAAAAAAAAAAAGAAAAGAAAAGGATACTACAGATATAATGGAAGAAAAAAATTCCCAATAACAGTAAAAAGAATATCAGATTATTAGTAATAAGTCTTAGGTCTGAACCTCAATTTTGTCACTTTAAACTTGTGCAACCTTAAGTAAGTCACTTCAGTATTCTGGGCCTCAGTTTTCTCACAGTGAACTAAAGGAGTTAGACTAGAAGGCTTATCTCTAAAGTTCCTCATATATATATATATATATATATATATAGATATAGATATAGATATATATATAGATATATATATATATAGATATATAGTTCAATGCTCTATAGTTAAAAGTTCTCCATTTAAAGTTACATTTCATTTTTAACATTACACATTTTGACAAAATAGTTCAAATAAAAGGGCTTAAGTAAAAAAAAAAAAATATAAGGTACTCCTCCCCACAAAAGAAAACTTTTCCACATAAAAATCAATTAATTATAAAACATGTCTTTCATTATTTTAATCCAATACATTAAACTCACAAAAGGAGATAGTCACACTGTGCTGATTCTTTGCTAAGGCACTTTAGGCAAAGGCTCCTATTTCTACATCATGACTAATTAATAATTAAATGATGCAACCTACAAGAAAAAGGTCTACTATAATCAACCACCAGGAAAATGTATTAGCTCTAAATGGATGAGAAAGACAGGTAGGAAAATAATCAAGTATGGAAAAACAGAACGAAGTACATAATACTTCCTACATGGTGCATAACCTAGAAAATAAAACATTAAAATGCCAAAATAAAAGAAAATTGACTTACTAGCATGCTTGTCTGCAAGCATTATAAGACTGTTGGAAATGTCTCGCCGTCTATAAAAGCATACTACTTTTGCTTCCACGTTGCCATTGGCCGTCTAAGAAAAAGGGGAAAAAAAAGTCATCTCTGCTGAATACTAGATGTAAACAGCTTCCAAAATAAGAGTATTCATGGTATACCATCAATTTATGAGCTTTTTTTATATGATCCATTCAATACTTTTATACGATGAAATAGGTCTAAGAAAATTCATATTCAAAAGTAATAATCGACATTTGCTCAGTTTCCAGCATAAATTGAATGTACATTTTAAAAAAACACATTAGCATAAACCAGCTGATATGATTTGAGCACCTTAAATACTAAAATCTGTTTATTAGCCTGATTAGGTACAAGAAATTAATCAAAAAATTTTTAACTAATTCTGATATTTAATAATTATTTTCCCTCCCAACCTAATTCAAAGGAAGCATACGCCAACCTGCAGGCCAACAGCCTTTCCCCATTTTTCCTCCATACTAGTTTGACACCAATGCTGTATTGGTACAAGGGAACAGAATGACTTTAAGGTGACCTAATGAGTCAAGAGATTCTACAAATCTATGATAGTCAATATTCTTAGTACTATTTAGTTTACTTTCATGAGTTACAAACATATCAACTCTTTTTACTTCTTGGCTACAGCACATTATATAATCAATATTCAGTTATGTTATAATTTACTGCAGCTGGTGCTCTCTACCCTACTCTCAACTCTATTAATTCTGAAAGCTTTCAAGAAAGTCTATCATTCACTATGAAGCTTCATTTAAAAAAAAATAACACCTACCTACAATAGAATGTTATGACTTCTATTTTCACACAAATTTTCCAAATTTCTCTGAAAACGTGGAGACACAACTAAATATGAATTAAAAGACCTAAGTAGACTATAAATGAGGCAGTAAAATTGTAGTTCAACTGCAATATTTTAGAATGAAAAATGTTATAGAATTATTGCTCCATAAAACTGTAATCATTTAAATCCTAGTCAAAATAATACCGTATCTCAAAATACTAGGATAGAAAACATACTTCAAAATCACCAATTCAGCAATTTTGTGAATGAAAAAGCTAAGCAAATGCAAATCACCCATCAAAAGCCTCAACTGCAAGCTAATTATTTTTTGTCAAAGGAAACCCTAATGAAAATTCAAGGCGCAGATATCACAGTGAAATGGAAGGAGCTGAATTTGGAACCTGAGGACCTAAGCTGAAGTTTCCTCATCCTCATCTATAAAATGAGGAGCTAGTCTAAATGACTTTTATGGTCACTTCCTGCTTTAAATTTTATGATCTTACATGGAAAACACCATGTTTTAACACTTTTTTTTTTACACTGAATTCATTTTCAGTGGTGAGGTCTCTACTAGTAAGCACTACAAAGTTAATTTAGTCAGTGTGCCTGGCATGTTGTAAGGGCTTAATAAATGCTTGCTGGTTTACTAAAATGTGCTTATTCATAAAATGGGAGACATGCTTTCAGCTCCATCTAATTTCTTCTTTCATTTTCTCTTGACTGATTAATAAGCCAAGCCTCAGAGTTGCTGGTAGACACTTGGGGATATATAACACAGAGAAGGGTGCTGTGGTTCCCCCCCAACCAGCCTCAACGAGTTAAACATTTCAGAAAAATAAAAGTCTGGTAAAGTTTTTATATTTCAATTCTTATCTTCTCAATCCATTAGGGAAGAAGAAAGTCTGAAATAAAAATCTGCTAAAGTTTTTCTGTCCCACTTCTTATCCCCCCCCTTCATCAGGAGAGAATAAAGTCTGATTCCTCCAGCTATGCTTCATTTTCCAAAGCTTCTCTTCATTACTTAATACATATTTGCTGCTGTTGTTAACTCAGAGCTTTCTGACTTTTTTGCCTAGCTTTAGAGAACTGTCTGAAACCATACTCCTTGAGTCAGCAGAATAGGAAGTTGGTTAACATCACCAGGAAGACAAGAGGATCTTCCATCTACCTACAGGCTGATCTTGAATTTACCCAGAGTCCCAGAAATGGTAAACCTAGACAGACTAAAACCTCCACAGGGTAATCTCAGAAGCATCTGTAAACTGTTCCAGAAAAGCAATAATTACAATGAGGCTCAATATCCCAGGTCTACTTGGGCACAGACTGGACCATACTCAGCAACCCAGGGACCTTGAAGGCTGAGACCAGATTTTCATTAGTTTACTCGAATCTAGGCTTACATCACAAGGGTTGGTCTATAATTCCATCAGCTTCCAGATAAAAGGTTCTTAACCTTTTTTAGTAGTGTGGTGAAGGTTATGGACACCTCAAAATATACTAAAATACAAAGGAAACCAATTATAATGAAACAGTTATCAAAAAAATTTTTTTCACAGATCCCAGGTCAAAAAGTTTGGTTTTAGGCATGAGCAACATCCAGTTAGCCCAGCACTCATCCAGTAACATTCAGCTAATCAGCACATAGCTCCATTAGTTATTTTCTCCTTTTCAAATAACATTATAAGACGTTAGCAATCAAAAAGTTTTTAACTATGTATTCTTACACTGCTACACTTATATCTCTCAATTTACTGTGGAGAAATAAAAGGGTAGTTAGAAACCTATGGTCCACATATGCAGTCCATGATTTCTTTAGCATATCTTCATTTCTTCAAATATCTCTAATTTCATTACCATGGATACCACCAAAGCAGACCACAATCCCTCCTTAACTTAAATCTTCCAGGCTTAGCCTGAGGAGGAGTTGAGAAAACACACTTCCCTCCCTTCTTTTCAGAGGAAGCAAGGAGGTTCCACACTGGTTATGCCAAATTATCAGATTCCACTGAGGGACTGGTTGACTTTAATCTTCTTTTTTCTCCTCTTTTATAAATCTTTATTAGAAGGAATGGCTGCCTAGCTAGGGTGGGCCAACATAATATTCAGAAATGAAGGAGATATTAAAAAAAAAGATCAATAGATTTGTTAACTTAGGTCTCCTAGGCTGCCAAGGCCAGGAGACTCTTCACTCTGCAGTCAACTTCATGAGCTTCTCTGAGCTTAGCTCAGATTATCTATGGGCAACATACATGATGTTCATCAAATGGGTCCATGCTAGAAGGTTTATCCAGTTTGATAGAGCTTTCCAGGGCTTAGGTGCCTCTGGCATATACTTTGAAGACCCAAGGTCACCTCTACTCCACAATAAAGCAAAAGAGTAACATTCTGGCGGAGGTTTATAGTACCTACAGTAAAAACACATCCTAATTCAATTCAAACAATTATTTATCTTATCAATATATAAGACATCAGGGACTGAGTTCAGCATAAAAAAGTTTCATTTTATATAGTCCTAAGTACTAGTACTAGATTCAAATTAATCAAGTTTATAACTTTTCACAAGTTTATTATTCTCCTAAGTATGCAATGCTAAAGAAACAATAATAGCATTAATAATAATTAACTTTACATATGGCTTTAGACTTGCAAAGTGATATTATATACATACATATACATATATATGTATGTACATACATATGTGTGTGTGTGTGTGTGGATATAGTCATAGACATAGAAACACACACACATCCTCACAGTCATTTTGTAAGGTAAGATACTACAGGTGGTCCTTATTTTTACAGAGGAGAGACCTGATGATGAGGGAGGTCAAACCTGAAGTCTCACAGACATCTTAAACTAAATATGTCCAAAACTGAACTCATTCTCTTTCCCTCCAAGCTCTCCCTTCTTCCTAACTTTCCTATTACTTTTGAGGGTATCACTATCTTCCCAATTACCCAGGCTCACAACTTAGTATCATCCTCAACTCCTCACTCTCTCACCACCACCACCTCCCCATTCCCAATCTGTTGCCAAGTATTATTGATATGCCTTTCCAACATCTCTCATATTTTACACCCACTTTTCTCCTCTGACATTGTCACCCCACTTGGACAAGCCCTCATCATTCCATAGCTGGACTACTATAATAGCCTGCTGATTGGTCTCCCTGCCTCAAGTCTCTCTCTATTCCAGTCCATCCTTCTCTCAGCTATCAAAGTGATCTTCCCATAAAGTACAAGCATAACCATCTCTCTCTCTCTTTCACTCAAACACACACACACACACACACACCACACACACACACACACATATTCTTCTTCATTCAATAAACTCCAGTGGTCACCACTTCAAGATCAAATATACAATCCTATGGTCCCTTTTCTACCTTTCCAATCTGATTTCACTTTAGCCTGTGCTTCATGTATTCTACATTTCATGTACTCTACCATTCAATGATACTGCCCTTCCTTGCCATTCTTTTTTTTTTAAAGGTATTCTTCTTCCTTGTTATTCCTGAACAGCATCTTCAGACTCCCTGCATTTTCACTGACTATTCTGCATGCCTGGAACATTCTCCCTCTTCATTCCCAACTCCTGGCTTCCCTGGCTTCCTACACCTTCTACAATAAGCCTTTCCTTTCCTACTCACCTCCCAATTCTAGTAATACCTTCCTTCTAAGATTACGTCCAAGTTATCCTACAAATCTTATTTGTATATAGTTTGCATGTTGTCTCCCCAATAAGATTGTGGGCTCCTTCAGGGCAGGGACCATTTTTGCCTCTCACTGAATACCCAGCACTTAGCATAGTGCCTGGCTTACCTATTAGGTAAACACCTAATAAATGCTTGAGTATATAAAATTTGAGTATATAAAAATGTATCAAAGAAGAATTAAAAGCTAAAATTCAACATAAGAAGTGACCTCTTACACATTTAGATGGTATCCATACATGTTCATTATCTATTTTTATATGAGTGATTTCCTAGATGGGCTCCAAGAAATTTATAAGCATCCAATATACACTGGGAGGCAGCATGAGATGGTGGATAGAGTGCTGGAATGAGAGTCATAAAGGCCTAGCTTCAAATTCTGCTTCTGACAGTCACTAGCTGTGTAACAAGCCATGGAATGAGAATTATAGAACTGGAGAGTTGGGAAGGACTTTGGCGGCCATCTAGACCCAACCTCTACCTGCAGATTTCCAATGAGGCACAACAGGAAGCCAATTCCACAACTGAACAGTTCTCATTGATGGAAAGTAGTTCCTGACAGCAAATACAAATTAGTCTCTTTACTTTCCACCTATTGCTCCTGATTTTGCCTTCTGGGACCAAACAGAACACATCTAATCTTTTTCCAACATGATAGCCCTCACATCCTTGATCCCAGCTACCATGCCCTAACAAGTTTTCTCTTCTTCATGTTAAACACCACCAGTTTCTTCAACAGTTCCTCATAGGACATAAATTTTAGGCCTTTCATTATCCTGGCTACCTTTCTCAGGATATTTACCAGTTTATTAATGTCTTTAAACTGTGGTTCCCACATCCCAACACAGTACTTTAGATGAAGTCTAACATAATACAGGATCAACAATAACCACCACATTCCTGGAAGCTCTGCCTCCCCTTAATGTAGCCCCACTGCACACTAGTTTTTTTTGGCTGCTGCAACATCACACCATTCAGTCATATGATCTAAACACACTAATGGACCATTTTTTTTCAAAACATCTTTCCCTGCCTGCCCCATTTTGTACGTGTTAAAATGACGTTTTATACTCAAGTATAAGAACTGACTTTTATTTCACATTTTATATATTATATTTTCATATACATTTTATCTTATTTGATTCAGCCCAATGCTCTAGCCTTTCAAGATCTTTTAAAATGCTGACTCTGTCATCCCCTATATCTTTCAGCTTAGTGCTATCTGCAAATTTCATGGGCATGAAACTCATAATCTCTAAGCCTCAGTTTTCTCACCCACAAAAAAAGGGAGAATATTTGTTGTATCTACATCACAGTTGTGAAGATGAAATGAGATAACGTAAAAAAGCACTCTGCAAATTTTACAAATATCAAGTATGGTATAGTTAACAGCAATGGTTATTTCAAAGGGAATAATAGGCAAGAAACAATTCAGGACTCTAAGCCATAATGTGTTTCAATATGTAATCATTCAAAAAGTTTGGGATCTAGAATGTGAATACAAAGTGTTAAAACCTCTCATGCCTTTCACCTAAGACCATGTAAAAATTCCAGTGAATCAGACCAAAGGAAAAAGTTAGTATGTACCTTATTAAGTTCTTCTATCCTTCTAATTAGATATGGGTTACTTGAGGAATTCTCAAAGTAGACATAATCTGCAATGAAAGATAAAAAATATTTTAATAACTTCAAAATTAGCATGCAAAGAATAGTATCACTTTGTCACTGATGTAATTCAAGTCATGAAAATTATACAATTCACATTCCAAACTTCTTAGCTCAGCTCATTCACTATGTAAAACCAAGTTTAAATAAAATAAATACGTGTATCACATGTTTGCAATCCACAGGCAATGAATTTCATTTATATATTTATTTCAATTAACATGGTTAACTAGAATCATAGATTTAGAGTCAAGTCAACAAACATTTATGGAGTGCCTACTACATGCTAGACAGCGTGCTAAACACTGGAGAAAGGCAATAGTCAGTCTCTGTTCTTAATGGGAAATAAAACTTGCAAATACTACAAAATATATACAGAATAAATTGGAGAGAATCTCAGGGGGAAGGAGAGAATAAGTCTGAGGAACAGCAAGGAAGCCACTGCCCCTGAAGGAAAAAGTACCTGAAGGGGAGTGGGGGTGGAGAAGGGAAGTAATCAAGTAAGGTGTAACAAGACTGGCAAGATAACAAGGGTCAGATTATGAAGGGCTTTAAAAGCCAAACACAGGATTTTATATTTGATCCTGGAGGCAATAGGGAACCATTAGATGTGACTAAATACGGGGAATAATTTGGTCAGACCTGCACTTTAGGAAGATCACTTTGACACCTGGGTGGAGGATGGACTGGAATGTGTAGAGAGGTAAAGCAGGAAGACCTACCAGCAGGCTATTGAAATAGTCCAAGCTCTAAGGGAAGTGGGCCTGTACCAGTGTGGTCTCAATGTCAGAGGAGAACAGGAGATATTTCAAAGGTAGAACAGATAAGACTTGGCAATGAATGGAGACAAGGGGGTGAGAGAGACAATGAGGAGTCATCAAGGACCCCTACACGTTGTGAGCCTATGTGACTAGACCTAGCAGGGACCTCCAAGATCATTGAGTATAACACTCTCAACTTACAGGTGAAGAAACTGAGGCACAGAGTGTTTGACTTACCCCAAGTTACACTAGTAACAGTAAATTTTAAAAAGCAACTCACTTCTACAAAGGGCACTAAGTTTTAAGAAAACTAACCCATGACAACTCATTTGAGTCTCTGTGAGACAGCTGTTAACTATGAATCCATTTTACAGAAGAGGAAACCAAGCTTGCCCAGAATCACCCAGCTAAAGTATTCAGATGCAATTCTAATCCCTGACTCCAAGTCCTGAACTCCATTCACTAAGTCAACAGAACTAAGTTTAGAATCCAGTGCCTCTGACTTCAAAACAATGGTCTCTGCATAACCACAGGCTGATTAAACATCATTAGCTATAATTATTCAACCCCCACTGAATAAATGGCACTCAATATGCTCTCTCACATCCAATGCTAAATCTATGATCCTAAGAAGGGAATATAATGAAGGCAGTAGGTACAACTATTTTCCCCTCATAGCCAATTTGCTTTTGACTATAATACAAATGCCTCCATTTTCCTCATATGAGAACTACTTAGTAACTTAAAGGTTTCTAAGTCTAAATGACATTTCAATGACCAACTAACTTTTCAAAAATAGATCAACAGACAATGAGGGAGGGCTTAGTACAGCAAATGCTTGTGGACTTGAGAGTCATAGTAACCTGAAAAAATGAAAATATTTACATGTTTTACACAGCCATAACAGGAAGGACTTTAACATGGGCAGGGCCCCATGGAACTGAAATCAAATTCTTTTTATCCTCTCACACCCTTTGGGCCCATTTAGCATCATGTGTGGATATCAGAGCAAGCTTCCCACAAAAAAAGGAGAAAAATTTGAAGTATGGCTTGTTTCTCAATCTAATAGGCTCACTGGAAACTTCCCACTGTGTGTTTTATTTGAGAGGCTGGATTTCCATTGTTATTGTCTCTCTTGGTGCCTGTTTCCCTGTCTTTTTCCTACAAAGTGGCCTCATTTATCCAGTACCAGTGCAATCCCTCCCACCACTAGCCATGAGCTGAGCTAATGAGAAGAGAAGCAAGAACAGCCTCTCAGACGCAAGCACAGCACTCATCAGAATTATTATTTTGTCAGGAAGGGGACAGGAGGGAATCGAGGAGGGAGAAAGTTTGTGTTTCACGTTATCACTCTCCTTTTCGAAGAGGCAGGCGCTAACCCAAGGCGCTGCTGCCCCCCATCAGCGGCTGCCTCCGGGGGGGGGAGCTGGGGCCCGGGCTGGGCTGGGCATAGCAGGGCCCCTGGGCGGGGAGGGCGGATAACCAGGGCTCTGCCCTGCAGACAGGCCTGCCCGGCTCTCCCTCCGCCCGCCTGCCCGCCCGCTCCTGGGGTGGGCCGCCCCCACGCTCCCCCGCCAGGGTCGGACAGTCAGGCTCCACACTCACTGGGCCCCACTGCCCTGCACCCACATTGCAGAGGGGAAGGGGAAACAGGGGAGATGCCCGACCGCCCTCACCACCAGGGCCTCGTAACCCGGGGGGAATGGGAGGGCGATCTGCCCCTGACCCTGGGGGGGAGGGGCCCAAGCAGGCCCGGGGGAGGGGGAGGCTCTGGCAGGCCCGTGGGCGAGGGGACACGCGGGGAGAAGGGGGGTGCCAGGGAAAGAGAGGCACGGGGGGAGGGGGCGGCCACCAGCAAGGCAGGGGTAAGGGAACACGCGGGGGCCACCCTGTCTCCGGTGGAGAGGGGGTCGACGCGGGGGCGGGGGGTGGCCCTCGCAGGCCCAGGGGGAGGGGGCACGCGGGGCTGGGCGGGGGGAGGGGATCTGTCCCCCACTCCCCTCCCCCGCTCTCTCCAGAGATTAGGGTTCCAGCTCTCCCGTCCCGTCCTCCCCCAGGCCCGGGTTCCATCCTACCTCCGACCCGGTACATGTTGGCCGCCATGTCCGCCCGCCCGCCGAGCCGAGCCCGAGCCGGAGCCGGAGCCGGAGCCGGAGCTGGAGCCCGAGCTGAGCCCGGCCCGCCGCCGCCGCCGCCGCCGCCGCCGCTTCAGCCTCAGCCGCCTCCGCCTCCGCGGCTGCTGCTGCTGTTGCTGCTGCTGCCGCCGCCGCCGCCTCACCGAGGGGAGGGGGAAGGGGAGAGGAGGGGGTAAGAGAGGAGGTAGAGAGGGGGGAGGGGAGAGAGAGGGAGGGGGGGAGCGGCCCGCCCCCCGGGCCAGGGACGGGTTAATAGGGCCCTGCCCTCGAAGGGGCGGGCATGGGTGACTGGCGGGAGATCGCTGGGGAGAATACTGGGGGGACCCAGGAGAGAGAACTAGGGGTCTGCTGCATGGCGAGTTCAGGGTTTTAGACCCATTAGGGAATTTAGGGTGATCCCAGCCCAGAGGACCTCCTTCCTCTCTTCCCCAACCCCTCCCCCCGCCCCTACTCCCCACACACCTGTATGCACAGTTGCTACTCTTGCCCAATCACCCCCTTTAGGTTCAAATCCATTAGCTACCCTTGCGGGGGGGGGGAGAGTAAGAGAGTGTGTGTGTATGTGTGTATGTGTTGCAGTTTGGGTGCACATAAGCCAAACGTGGGAGTATGCTGTGGTGTTTCCTCAACTGCCTGTGTGGGTCTGAGTTTACTTGACTACTCATGCAAGGTGAGGGACTCTGGTACTCCTATTTCCCCTCGAAGTGGGAGCCCTGTAAGGACCGAAAGAGGGAGCCTGGAGGTTGGGGCTAAGCAAATGTCTTGACCCCTAAGTGACTGCATTGATGCGTAGTTCCAGGATTGTCCCTGGGAAACCAGTTCCTCCAGGCAGAGGTACCCATGAACGCAGTCTTAACTTCAGAGGTGTACAAATCGGGGGGGGGGGGGAGAACCCTAGGAGGGAAGAATAAGAGATGATGCTTTTCTCTTTGCCATTATGTTAGGAGAGCTCAGCCTTCTTTCTTAACTGTAAGACTAGTCTTGCAGGTTGAAGGAACTATATACTTCCCCTTGAACTAGAAACATTAGGACGCAAGGGAGGCTAGTGGTGGGAACTAAGCAAGTGTCTGGGTCCTTAAATAACAGCATCAATTTGTAGGTCCAATTCCTGTCCTCTTGTCCTTTGCAAACTCACTGCCTTCGGGGCTGAAGAGGGACCTATGAAGGCAAATATGGCTGCAGGGGAGTAGGAATCCAGAGAGGGCTGGGGGACAGCGGACAAGATAGGAGGGCTCCTTTTCCATTGTCAATGTTAGAAAAACTCAGCCAGCCTTTCCTGCCAGCACCATTATCAAGATCCACATGACAGCCAGGTTGGAAATGATAGACAGTAACAAGCTATTTGCAGCTAAGCTTTCCACTGGGTCGTTATTTTTCCCAATTTGGTCTTCTAAACAAACCACTTGGTTTTGATATTCTTCATATCCTGACAAAAACAAGAAACCAAATAGTGTCTGAAGCTAGTTAGACATCCCCAAATGAACTCAAACAACCTTATTTAGTGAAACTAAACTGTTCCCAAGCTAAATCGAAGGTTCCAAACTGTTCCCAAACATTGTTGTTTAATAAACATGAAGATGCCCCCATGCTGTTGTTCCTTTTTTGGAGTTTCTGACTGAGAAACAACCGTCTCTCACTGGTTCCAGGCTCCAGTTATTGTAGTTGGTCTTTTTTCCCCCTTAATCTCCGGAAGAGAAAGGCTACTCTTAGTTTTCTGAAGAGTCATTCATTTACTTTGATACAATAAACAGAAATTTTCTGATGAAATCAAAACTTTATGTGTAGCCAAACTAGAGAAGTGGGGCAAATAAGAAAACGAAATCCACCTTTGCAAGGACTGCATAAACAAGGGCTTTGTGAGCCTTTAATTCAGTCTTTTCCTCTTCCCTAAGAAGAAAATAGCAGTGAAGTTGTCATCATTCAGCTTAAAGCCATCATAATTGTTGTAGTAGACTTTTATCAAAATATTCTCTGTGGTAGGGAATCTCTAGCTATCTATTTCAAAGAGGAGCCCGGGAAGACTGATTTATTTGTCTGGTAGCACGGGACCCATAGAACTGTAATCAAAATGTAGCCCAGAATCAGCACCACTTTGTATCACCTGAATCAACAAGGCCCAGCAACTCTGCTTTGCAAATTAGATAATGATGTGAAGGGGGATAACCCCTGAGGGGTTCCCAGTGACTGACACTCAGGGAGACAGACCGAGGCCTTTTCCCCTGTGCCTTCTTCCAGAGTTCAGCAAGGAAGGAGAGGGGATCTCTCCTTTTCAGGCTCTCTTTCTCCACCAGTAATGACAACCTGCAGGAGAAGCACATAGCAATGATAGATATGCGCTTGCAGAGGCTGAGATGAAGTTTAAGACACTGTTCCTAAACCCCTACCTAGGAGGAATGATTGTGAATTCCTTAAGCAATATAATCCTGGCATTTATACTACTAACCAGGAAAGATAAATTTTCAGCAAGGCTTTGCAAGTTAACTCCTAGACAATTCCAAATTTGTTTCTGATTATAAATATTCAGACACCAGTGTCCTAGAGAAAGAAGACTTCTTCAACAGTTGACTTCTTGGAGAAGAAAGAGAATCACCCTTAGGTATGTACCTAATCTAGTCCAGCTGCTCTTCCCAGCTTATTTTTTCTTAGTACTATTTTTACTTCTTCATATACCACATCAGAGACAATAATGTTAGAATCCAAATATGGTGGACTTCACTGTCTTTGAGGGAGAAAGAGGTTGTTGTAAAAAAAAATTTTACAGCTTTTCCATTTTTCATCTTATGTTGTTCTCCCAGTTTCATCCTTTAATGCTCAGAGGATTATTAGGTCTCTTGGCAAGTTTTCTATGGTTTTTTTTTACTGTACCACTTTTCATTATTTTATGAGGTGAGGTGATAATACTTATAATCTTCTGCTATACTCCCCTTTGAGATTTTTATCCCCCAAAATATTCTAGACTGGCATTGCCTTTGGCTGTCACGTATTTCTGCTTGGCAGGAAGATCATTGTTCTGCATAATGAGGAATTTTCTGGGGGTTTTTGGCTTCTTCATTGTAACAAGTGATTTAGTTAAACCTGATGGTTGTTGAACTGAATTGAATTCTTTAAAATCAAGCTATATTGCTTTCTCAGTTCTAGAAAAAGAGAATTAAAGCTGGTGAGAATTGTTACCTCTTTAGGAAATAGTAGCAAACATCTAGTACTCTCCTCTCTTTAGGAAATAGTGAATGTCTATGTTGATGTCTGTTCTTTTAATTACTTCTCATTCTTTTGTTTTTTGAAGACTAGGTTCACACCAGTAAGCTTAAATTCATTTGATAAATTAACTTAATAAATCTCATTTCTACTGACCATATTTCTGTAATGTTCCTAAAATGCCCCATAGAATTCACGTTATACTTTTTGGCTTAAGTGGTTCAAATACTTATGCTTATAAGAATTGCAATTTTAACATGTTTTACTTCTTTGGGTATTTGTGAATAACTGAAAAAAAACTTGTCCATAATTAATCCCCTTAATAAGGTAAGTATATTCAAGTCTTCTTCTCGCTTTACTTTCTGCTTTGATTAGTTCAAAGTCATCCATCTCTGCTCCACATCCATAAGTAGGCCATAAAGGTAGCATTTACAACTGTTCTAGCCATTTGTTCAAGGCAGCAGTTCACTGTTTTAAAACCCTGAGTTGTCTTAATTGCATGTCATGCCTTCTTATTTTTATTCTTTTAATTTGGTATTGATTTTGATCCTGGTTCTAACAAATCCATCATCTAACTGTAAATAGCTGATTGGAAAATAACTCCCATGCTTTATAACCAGTTGTTTCCTATCTGTTATGATTGAGTCAATTTCAGATTTAGCTGTATTATTCAGTGCTTGTCATGTTTCACACCTCCCAACTCTGTTGTTGAAGAAAATGTTCATGATATGTAGATGTGAAGTGTCAGTGTAATCTACAAGTCTTGACCTCTTTTGGTTTTTTTATGTATTTAAATCATATTTTCCAATATATATGTGTGTGTGTATGTATGTATATATATGTGTATATATATATACATATATGTATATATATACACACACATATATGTTTGCCAGCATCCCTTAAACCTACATATGCATTACAGTCACCAAGTGTTAAAGCACAAGTTGATTTAATTTGCAAGGGCTTATCACATTTTTTCATAGAATTTCTCTACCTTCTCATCCTCTACAACAGCTACAATCTACACCAAGGAAGGGAATACTCACATATATGAAATTTCAGGTTCACCAAAGTATTCTAGAAGTATTATTATTGATTGGATAAGAGAAAAATCTGGAGCTTGGAATACTGCCTTGGATAGCAAACCTAGCAAGGAGACAGGACTGAGCAGGTATCCTTCAAGTACTATGTGTCTGGGGATAGGGTGAGGTTGGGGGAGGGGGGCAACAGGAGATAGCAAAGTCAAACCACTTCTAATCTGGCTTCTGGCCTCATCATTGAACTACAGCTGCTCTTTCCAAGGTTGCCAGAGATCTCTTAAATGCCAAATCCAATTGTCTTTTCTGTGTCCTCATCCTTTCTTGCATCTCAGCCTCATTTGGCATTTAATACTGTTGACCACTCCCTCCTCCTAGACAGTGTCTCCTCCTTGGGCTTTCAGGTCACTCTTCAGGTTCATCTACCTACCTGCCCAATCTTTCTCAGTTTCCTTTGCCAGATCATACATGATCCAGGTCCACACCCCCTGCATGTGGGTGTACCTAAGGACTTAATCCTCTGTCCTCTTTATATACTAGCTCTCTTGGTGATCTCATCAGCTCCCGTGGTCTCAACAATCATCCCTCTGCTGATGACTCTCCAGTCTATGAATTCAGTCCTAGACTCTCCACTGAACTAGAATCCCACTTAACTATTGGGCATTGAGAACTAGATATTCCCTAGACGTCTCAAACTCAAATGTCACAAATAGAACTCATTATCTTTCCTCAAAAATCCTCCCTTCTTCCTAATTCCCCTATTTCTTTTGGAGCACCATCAT